AAAAAAAAAAAAAAGAAAAAAGAAAAAAGAAAAAAGACAGATTCTATGGAGAGGAAGGAATTCCACTTTCAGATTCAAGTCTGCAACAACAACTCTTACTGGAATTTCCATCCTGTTGTCCTATGCTGTGGATTTCAATTTTGTCAGCTCCTACAATCATGAGCTGATTCCTTAAAATAAATTCCTCTCTCTCTATATATATACCCTCATCGGTTCTGTTTCTCTGGAGAACACTGCCTAATATACATGGGCTGGAGAGATGAACATGTCTGTGTACCTTCATACATTTAGCAGATCACCAGCTTTGGGCAAAAGTATTTAATCTATATTTTAGGGGATGGGCTCTGTACTCTCAGTTGTAATTGCAGAAAGGGGTCCACGATTTCCTAAAGACTGTTCTCTAAAAACACTGATCCAACAAGTTAGTGTAGTCCAAGGCCAAAAAATGTATGGCTCTGGTAGGAAGGGAAAGGAAGTAAAATGAACCCTTCTGCTCTCATGCCTGTTCTGAGTATATGGACTAAGAAAGCAAAAAAAATAAAAAAATAAAAAAAAAAAATTTAGAAAAAGCCCTGAAGAGAGCTGGGACTGGGCAGCTTCTGCTGTTTTAGGAAGCAGAAAAAAATCAATACTCCATGTTTTAAGATGAAAGCTCATGAGGGTATGAGTAGCCACAAGACAACACCACTTAGGATATTCCCGAGAGCTTGGGGTGGTTCATGTCGAAGTCCTATGTTAATACGTCCACAGACACAGGGGGTCCCAAGCCAAGAGAAGAGGTCCTTGCACTGGGGTCTCATAGAAGGGGCCCTGCAGGGAGAATAGCTCCTGACTGTTATCACGATCCGCCCTTGGAGAATCTCCAATGCTTCCCTACACATGTGACATTTTAGGATTAGGGACCACAGAATCACAATATTGGGTGATTAATTTGGCCACTTGATTGCAGAACACATACAGCTGACCAGGGAAGTAATGAGGACATTAGATTCTCAGACACCTCATCTGAGGGCTGTAGCTCTGGCCAACCCAGAAACTACCTGCTGTAACTATTCACTGCGGGAATTGGGGTGGACACTGCAGCACGGGACAGAAAGGAGGTGGGCTGGGGGGGAAAGGACTTTTGTGGCCCCAGGGAGTTTGGGGATGGTAAAACCAGGATAAGGAAATTTCTGTTCCATGTCATGAGAGGTCAGGGAAAGGGGAGAGACCTCCCTTCTTAAGCTTGAACAACAGGAATGCTTTTTAACTTAGGACTCGGTAGTTTTATCAGTAGAAGAGCTAAAGTCCAGCTTAAGTTAAACAGGCTCCTGCAGGCCAGCTGCACAGGGTCTTTAACTTTAGGCAGACCTGGGTTGCCTTGAAAGACATATTTATTTAAGTTATCTAGCATTCCTGATAGGAAGCCGAAGGAGAGATTAGAGGCTGGGAACTGATTTTTTTTGTTTCCAGCAAGTGGGAAAAGCCTGAATGCTGAGTGCTTATTAACTCAGATTTTTTGGAGGGTGAACAAATTTCAAGCTGCAACCCTTTCTCCATCTCATATTCCCCAGATTACCTGGGAGTGAAGTGCCCCAGAGCACCTCTTTGTTCACAAGAAGTGAACTTCATGGTCACAACATGCTCAGTGACTCTTTTGGGGTTTGAGTGGGCAGTGCCTCAAGGCAGGTCCAGCTGACATGAGCTCTCCCAGTCCCACCAACTTGGCCCTGGGATTGTGTGTCTATAAGAACAGACCAAGGACTCATTCACACCCTCCTCCTCTATGCTGTCAAGACAGGTGACCCTGCTTCACTGAGGGCTAGGACATAGATTCCAGAAGCTCTGGTCATTCCTGTCCTTCCTGTTTACATTAAAAGATCCAAAGTCCACTGCTTTCCTATACCAGGAACCAGAAAACAGCAGGCTTGTAGCCAAAGAACCCTGGGGTTTCCTCTTTCTTCCTACACAGCCTGGCAATGGTCTCTGTGGGAACCCTAATATATAAGAAGACTGAGAGCCTCTAGAACTCTGCCTCTGAATACACCTGGCCTCACCAGCCTGTATTGACGCCACAGGGATGGCAGGAAGTCAAGTGACCACAGCAGCTTGATCCCCTTGAACTAGCCCTCTGGTTAAAGTGTTGGTATAGGCCTACTTCTAAACCCAATCTGAAAGCCATTACCTGCCCGCCTAAACAGTATCCAGTAAACAGCTTCAGTGTCACATCCTCAGAGTGCTTTTTAGAAAAGATGAACCATCTACAATTTCTGGCCAAAATGTACATGCTCCCAAATCAACCACCAGACACTCATGTTCTTACTCACTCCAATGAACGTTTATCCTTACCAATGCATTAGGCCAGAGGTGACAGACATCCTCTTCTCCTGAGAACAAGGGAGACAAGTAACAGAGGCTTGGACTCTCCACCATGGTAGTGGCCAGGAGGAGTGGCCAAGCCTGATGGCATACCAGTTTCTGGGCCCAGAGATCTCTGACTGCATCAGAGAAATATTTTTGCTCCTATCACCTTACATTAGATAATTTCTCTGTCAATTAAGTATATGCTACCTGAATTGTCTCATTTACTTTGCAATGTGTGTAATCTCTAGTCTCTCCAATTGAACTGTAAAATCTGAAGGCAGGGAGGCCTCTGATCCAACACCAAGAAGGAATTAAAACAAACAAAGAAACCAAAACAAAACAACAAAACTGTTGGATGACTATTTACTGGCTTACTTTCCTAATAAATTAGATTCTGATTTACATTAGAAAAAGAGAAAAGGTCGCTTATAGTTGACAGGGAAGAGAGGCCCAACAGGAATTGCAGGAAAATAGCTCAGCATGCCCTGCACTGCCTTCTGCTTCCCAAGGGGGCAGACGTGTGAGCTGGCTGTCCTGTGGATCTTGTCAGGGAAGCCCAGCACTGTCAGACAGCCTTCCTGCCTTCTGGAAAGCAAGATTGCAAAATTTGGCAGGAAGGGTGTGCACTCAATCTAGTGAAGGAGTGACAAAACATGGGAAATGGCAGCCTTATTACACACCCTCCCCTCCTTTCTGACGTGCTACATGCCACAGAAATGGAAGAACAAACACATCAGTCACAATCAATTTCCCACTGCCCAAGTCTTTGAACTCTGACTTCAAACAGGCCAACTTTACACTGCATGAAATGTAATGATCTCTGGTCCCTGCGACAGGACACCTCTCAAGGCATTTGCTTAATTTTTGCTCAAGGAGTTACTTATGGGAGGTGGGGAAGCCTGGAGCATTTCTTTCCACAGCTGAAACACCCCTCAGTGTGCCCTCCCCAGGATGGCTCTAAGGGAGAGTGCTGTCCCAGAGTGCTATTTATTACCTGCACACCAAAGCCCAAGGACTACATAGGCCCAAGAGGAGAATAGTGACACACAAGACACCACCCAGAGGGAGATACCTCCTGCCCTGGCTGTGTCCTGACTATCCGTACCTAGAGCCTTCACAGATATTTGCCGGGTGAGTGGAGGGGGTATATTGATGCACACAAGATCCACGTCTTGATGCAGCAAGACATCATCGGTCCGGCTGGTGTAGAAGGTGATGTTCATCTCCTCGGCAAGCTGTTTCGCTTCCTCCTCAGTCTTCCCCCACAGGGCCTCCACGGTGAACCCTTCTGCCCTCAGCAGTGGGACTAGAACCCGGGCAGAGCTGCCGGTCCCAAACACGCCTACTCCTGGGAGCATCTTCATGCCGGCTTCTCTGTTCACCAACTCATCTCCTCACAAGAGCCTCCAGCATGAATACGACCTTCCCACAGTCCTGGTCAAACATGGCTCCTGGAATAGCAAGCATTATACTGGCTATTAGTGGATGGTACACTCAGCTGAGGCTACCTTCTGGACTTATTTGGAAGCAACAAGTTCTCTGCCACAAAAGCACAAATGAAATACTGCTCCAAATTGAAAAGGTTCAAAAGCTTTTCCCAAGGAAAGGATATTAGCAAATGTATATCTACTGAAAGGAATAAAAATGAAAAAGGAGTAAAGCTGGGTTAAATCTCTGTTCTGTTACTTAATGCTTTGTGTGACTTTGGTCCAATCATTTAACCATCAGGGCCTTAACTGTAAAAGTTCATGATTCTATGATATTATATTAGAAAAAGGAAAAGAGGAGTGGGAAACAAAACCAATACAAGTCGGAAGAGAACCACCTAAGTGCTATGCAGATTATAATTTAAAAGTTTATGGTAGCAAGCATAGAAAATGTTTACTAGAAACAAAAAATATCTTTTTCCCAACTACCAAACTGGCAACAACTATAACAGGAAGTTTAAAATGGTATTTTTTGTATAAGGATATTTTTCTCCAACATTGGCTAGGATAGGTGGAAAAACTGGGAAACAATCTAGATGCTGACTAACAGTAACAGGAAGGATAAATAATACTATGCAGTCACTGAAAACCATGGGAAGAGAAAGCCCTCAATGACCTGAAAGACATCACCATATGTTCACTGAAAAGGGGGAAAACAAAACAATATGTGAAGTATGATATCCATTTTTTTAAAGCACAGAAGATACATGAATGAAAACATACAAGGATATCTATAATATTATCTGTAAACATTATCTCACACATGACACTAGAAGGATTAGAATATACCTGAATTTAATAATTACTCAAATTATGGGATTATGGATGAATTTTGTTTTTCAAACTCTGCCAAATTTTATACAATGAATATGTCTTACGGTGAAAATTTTCCTTCTGATCACAAGGGTTATTAAATGAAATAAAGAACATGGGGCACCTGGGTGGCACAGTCGGTTGAGTGTCCAACTTCAGCTCCGGTCATGATCTCACAGTTTGTGAGTTTGAGTCCCACATCAGGCTCTGTGTTGACAGCTCAGAGCCTGAAGCCTGCTTCAGATTCTGTGCCTCCCTTTCTCTCTCTCTCTCAAACCTAAATAGAAATATTTTCAAAAAATTTTAATAAGGGGCGCCTGGGTGGCTTAGTCGGTTAAGCGTCCGACTTTCGCTTAGGTCATGATCTCGCGGTTCGTGGGTTCGAGCACCACGTTGGGCTCTGTGCTGACTGCCAGCTCAGAGCCTGGAGACTGTTTCAGTCTGTGACTCCCTCTCTCTCTGACCCTCCCCTGCTCACGCTATCTCTCTCTCTCTCCTAGAAATAAGTAAAACATTAAAAAAAATTTTTTTTAACATTTTTTTTTAAATTTTTATTTATTTCTAGAAGAGACAGATATATATATATATATATATATCACACCCATCTGATATATATATATCCTATATATATATATATATAGGAATGAAGCTGTGTCACAGTCATTTTCTTTATATTAAGTTAAATTCATTTTTTTGGTGGTAAAATACACATAAAATTTACCATCTTAACCTTTTTTCTTTTTTTTTTTTTTGAGAGAGAGAGAAGAGAGAGAGAGCGAGAGCGAGAGCGAACGAGCACGAGCTGGGGAGTGGAAAAGGGCCACGGGAATCTTAAGTAGGTTCCGTGCTCAGTGGGGAGTCCCACAAGGGGCTTGATCTCATGACCATGAAATCATGACCTGAACTGAAATCAAGAGTCGGGTGCTTAACCAACCAAGCCACCCAGGCACCCCTTAACACATTTTTAAAATTTTAAATTTTTTAATGTTTATATATTTTGAGACAGAAAGAATAAGAGAGAGTGAGAGTGAGCGGGGGAGGGACAGAGGTGGAAAGAGAGAATCCCAAGCAGGTTCTGCTCTGTCAGTGCAGAGTCCAACACAGGGCTTAAATCCACAAACTGTGCAATCATGACCTGAGACAAAATCAAGAGTTGGATGTTTAACTGACTGAACCACCCAGATGCCCCCAAAATTTTTTTTAAATGTTTTATTTATTTCTAGGAGAGAGAGAGACAGCGTGAGCAGGGGAGGGTCAGAGAGAGAGGGAGTCACAGACTGAAACAGCCTCTAGGCTCTGAGCTGGCAGTCAGCACTGAGCCCGACGCGGGGCTCGAACCCACGAACCGCGAGATCATGACCTAAGCCAAAGTCGGACGCTTAACCAACTAAGCCACCCAGGCACCCCATTAAAAATCTTACTACTGATCTTGCTCACTGCAAATCCTAAATTTTAAGAAGTTTTATCTAAACACATGACTTTGCTGTTCTACTTTAATCCACATAACACTGCTTCATTTGCATCTCCTCACAGATCAGAGTCCACCTATTTTCAGTTTTTTTAAGTTTATTTATTTTGAGAGAGAGAGAGAGAGAGAGAGAACGAGCGAGCAAGCAGGGGAGTGACAGAGAGAATCCCAAGCAGGCTCTGTACTGTCAGCGCAGAGCCCAATGCAGGGCTTGAACCCACGAACTGAGAGATCATGGCCCGAGCGGAAACCAAGAGTCCAAGAGTCGGACGCTTAACTGAGTCACTCAGATGCCCCAACCTATTTCCAGTTTAAAGGAGACATGGTATTCCTTTAGTGACTGCAAGTACCAGGGATATACATCTCTTCCCTCCCCATCCACGACATCCTCCCACCTTTCTGGTCATTTCTGAATGCCACTTTTGGGGTTCCCAGCTCCTCCAATGCTGAGGTTTTTGAGGTTCAGTCAGAGGTGTCCTCTTTTCTTCTTGTTCCACATATTCTTTTCTACTCATGTCCAAAGCATTATCAGTATACCAGCGACTCCCAGATCTGCAGAACAAGCCCAGATTTCCCTTCAGAGTTTCACACCCACATGTTCTATTTCTGAATATACACTGGTGTTCTAGTCTTGATAACCCACAAACCCACATGACCAAATCTGAACAGAAAGAGTAAAGTGAGATGGTGAGAGCACCTGAAGTGAAGGCATCAGAGATACTTGGGTTCAAATTCTGGCTTCACCAGTTCTTATGCAACCCTTTTCACGGGTAAAACACGCCTAATGCTATTTAGCTCCCAGAGTCTTCTGATGATTAAATGAGGTCCAGTTTTAAGTGCCTAGCCAAGCATATTTGGTCAGTATTTAATATTTATCATAAACCTTCACTCAAACATTTTCTTCCCCTATCTTCTCTCTTATGGAATGTTATTATCACCAACTCAGTTCTTTAGTCTAGAAAGCTGGCCATCACCCCCAACTTCTCTATTCCCTTACTTGCAAAATTAACTCATCAAGTCTTATTGATCCTACATCTTTATTATCTCTTAAATCCGTCCCTTCATTGTCATCTCCTCTGCCACTGCCCTAGTCTAGCCCTGAGTACCAGTCACCTGGATTACTGCAACAACCTTCTACTTGATCTCTCTTGCTTCCATCCTTTCTTATCTTCATCTAATCTTCATATTGTAAAGATACCTTTCTAAAATGCAAATGGGATCACATCACTCCCTTCTTTTTTAACCCTTTTTTGACTTCTCCCTGGACTCACTATAAAGTGATCTTAAGGATCACCTGCCTGAGTGACTCAGTTGGTTGAGTGTCTGTCTGACTCTTAATTTTGGCTCAGGTCATGATCCTAGGGTTGTAGGACTGAGCCCCTCATCAGGTTCCATGCTCAGTGTGGAGCCTGCTTAAGACTCTCTCTCATCCTCTAAGAAAATAATAAAAAATAAAATAAAATAAAATAAAAAGGATCCTTAAAAAAAATAAATAAAAAATGTCCAGATTCTTAAGTATGACTTATAAGGTCCTACATGATCCAGAAATCTTAAGACAGGCCTAGCTTTGTACAGGGTCACTTTCAAGGATTATCTCAAAAAGAGATGGGTTTCAAAACACACACTTAAATAACATAGTAAGAAGAATGCTCTGCAAAACTATCAGTTATAAATCAACTAAAAGTTGGGGGGGACAGTTACTCAAAATCACAATGGTTTCAGAGTAACTGATGAGGAGTGTTTTTTTCTTTCTGGGAAAATTAAATAGTGGGGAACAGATGTTTATTGAGACCCTTTTTGATCACATTAAAAGCGTACCACCTCACAAAAACTTGTACATGAATGTTCATAGGCCAATCTTTCAACTGCTGAATGGGTAAACAAAATGTGGTATATCTATACAATGTAGTATTATTCAGCCACAAAAAGTAATGAAGTGCTGATATAAACTACAACAAGGAGAAACCTTGAGAACATTATGCTCAGTAAAAGATGCTAGTCACAGAAGGACATATATTGTATGATTTCATTTATAGAAAATGTTCAGAACAGGCAATCCATGAAGATAGAAAGTAAATTAGTGGCAGGGGGTAGCAGGGATAGAGGATTTGAGAGGTATGGGGGTCAACTTTATTCTTCCACATGTGGTTATTCAATACCACTTGTTGAAGAGACTATTCTTTCCCCTGAACAACTCTGACATCTTTGTTGAAAATCAGTTGACCATAAATGTACGGGTTTATTTAGAGATTCTCAATTAAAAAAAAATTTTTTTAATGTTTATTTATTTTTGAGAGAGAGGGAGAGTCAGCGGGGGAGGGTCAGAGGGAGAGGGAGATAAAGAACCTGAAATAGGCTCCAGGCTCTGAGCTGTCAGTACAGAGCCCGATGCGCAGCTCGAACTCATGAACCATGAGATGGTGACCTGAGCTGAATTCAGACACTTAACTAACTGAGCCACCCAGGTGCCCCTAGAGATTCTCAATTTTATTGTACAGCTCTATTGTCTGTCCTTACGCCAATACCACCCCATTTTTTCTTTTAATATTTTATTTATTTCTAGGAGAGAGAGAGAGAGAGAGAGAGAGACAGCGTGAGCAGGGGAGGGTCAGAGAGAGAGGGAGCCACAGACTCCGAAACAGGCTCCAGGCTCTGAGCTGGCAGTCAGCACAGAGCCCGACGC